ATTTGAGCCCAAAACTGGTCACAGTCAGCTGGCGTACAAGTGATGATATAATAAATACGATTAATCCACCGATATTTATTATATGAGGGTAACCATCTTGAACAGTGCTTGAAACTAAATAGATAAGTTGAGAAACAGTTTCCTACAAATCAGGGAGAAAATAACAAACTTTCACACTCAAACGATCCGTTGGGGGTAACATTAAGCCAACCCCTGGAAAAATCGACCTCATTCGTCGTTTTTGTGTGGACACGAAGAGAATAGAACACTTTCCCTGGTATATTTCAAAGCGAAATCGCAATCCAACTGTAAGACCGTCGCTGAATAGCTCCTAAAGTATGAGGATCGTCCCCTACTGTTACATAGATTCGCCTTAAGTGAGCATGACCGCAAGACGACGCCAGCGGGATTCGAAAGCCAACCGTTTAGTCAAAACCAAAGCAGTTGGCCAATTCACTAGCGAGTTTGCAAATTGGCTGCCCCAATACTTCTGAGACTTGCTGTAATGGTCGACAGTAGTATCTCATTCATACATTGAAAGTTCACAGATCTAGCCTGAAATCAAGCTGGTAAATGTAAACCAGCATAGATTTTTGCACCTTGGCATTACCTGGCTGCATCCTCTGACATTGCCATGTAGTAGAGTAGCATTCTCTCAAATCATTATCATAGGCCTTCTGCAGTGAGGACATTGTCCATGTACAAGATCAGTATCTTACAGTGTTGCGTTAATGAAGCCTTATATAATACTGTAAATGATTACGTCATTTGAGTGACATCTGATCTTACGGGCAAAGATCCCAATTACCCTGATGACCCAAGGATAGAACAGAGGAGTGTCTTAAATGTGCATGTGGAATCTTTTACCAAGATTCACTTGCATAAATAAATGGTCATTCCTTACCTAAATATAAAAACATGTTCAAATTGGTAAAACATGTCTGTAAATTTCCTGTGCACCTTATAATTTTATAAACATTGTAGATACTTAAAATCTACTTCTTACTTTTCTGAGGGCACTTCATTATTGAATCAGTTATAAGAAAAATGCAAACTATGAGTAATACTTATTTTATTATATTCTTACCACTAATTAACGATTGAGATTTAGAAAATCTGCACAACTGCTCAATTATAGTAATTTTAAAGAAACAATACCCGGTAGCTGTGATTTTGTTTTAATATAACCATGTAAAAAATAGCCAAATTTTTCCAAAATATTGTTTTAGACACAAATACAAGGCTAAGGTTACATAAAATGCAATGTATAAACTAGGGGTCGAGTATTCTCGATTTCATTGAAATCAGTGATAGGGCAAACAAAAAATTACGACAGACGGCGCATACTATTATGGAAAATGACACATATAATTTTCATTGAGAGACCATCAGAGGGAGGCTTATCTTCTCAAGATAGCTACTTATTTTACATTTTGCCTCTAGTCCCTGGTAAGTTGTCACCTTGTACCGTTCTCTGAGAACTCCTTGACAAAATTAATTTCAATAGATGGTGCCCTCTAGAGACCTGGACACAACCACACGGCCATCTTTATTAACTTGCAAGTCAGTATATAGTGTATATGCTATGCTTTCAGTGTTCACATGGCCACTACAAATTGGCACAAATGACACATGAAATGTGTTTTTTTCAAATAAAAATCTGAGAAAAAAATTTTTATAGTTACAGCTATTGTTGCTTTAACGTCCTGACATTGTTATATTTTAATTGCCTCATAATTTAATAATCTTTTCAATCACTTTTAATTACGTACAATATTGTGAATGATGTCTCATTCTGGGTGTGCTGTGTTAGAATTATTGATGCATTATCTAGTGATGGGTTAAATGCATGCATCTAATTGGCTGTTCAATAGTTTCATTAGCATATCTGCTAGTTTTCCACCTTTGGAAATGGTAAACATATACATGTGATATTGACATGGGTTTCCACTTCACTGTTTATCACACATCATTCATACACACAAATGTTCATATATTTGAGTAATTCAATCCACTTTGACTGTATTTGCATAATTAAATTTCTATCACCCATGACTACCTAAGCATAAAGACTGCATGTGTTTTCATGCTACAATAATTCTTGTGTTAAATTAAATTTTAACGATAATATTTGGTTAATAGCTTTGTCTGAAAAGAAACATTTTGTTTACGAGTGGGGGTTTATAGATCATCTGAGGTACAACTTCAGTAGACCCAATATATTTAAATTTACAGATTTCATTGCTATTCATTTCAGTCTTTACTGGATGATATGTTTACTGATGACATCACAACAACACCATCAAGTATTTCTGGAAGATCTACAGTATCAGCATCTACCACCGCTTCCTCTCCTGACAATAGAAAGAAAGAATCATCTGTTAGTAGATCAACCTCCTTCACCATGGGAACAGGTAACATACAGTGCTGACAATTTATTTAATTTCCATACAATCTGAAAAAAACCTTTAATATTTTCACCAAATAGTTCCAATCATAGTCTGCACTTGCCTTCAGAAGATTGGGACAAAAATAGCCAAATTTTTTGAGTAAAAACTGAAAATTAACTCAAAAATAAGGCTCCAAAATTAGAGTTCATTTCCTGAAATATTGAAAATTGTAAGAAAAAATTGTGGACAAATTTGGGTGAGAAATTCTGGTGGTGAAAAGGTTATAAAGCTAAAACTTTAGTGTGTGGCATTTGTTATGATAAACACTATATGTAGTTTTATTGTTATCATACTTTTATGATTCATATTTTTGTATTTTGTTTTGTTTAGCCAAGAAAAGACCGGAGAGTTTAAATCTGAATGATAAGTACGGTCTAGAAAGCAGCTTACCAAAACGAAAGCAGTGGCAGATGGAGGTAAGAAATGAAAGTCACTATTATACAATGATATTTTAACAGTCGCTCAAGTTTGAGTTTCATCAAAATCGTATCGTATCTTATCTTATCTGATGTGGTACACATGAGTGCTTATGTGCCTAAATCTTGATACTATTTCTGTATTTTGACAGCCTTTTGACAACCTGGTGCTATCATCAATTCACCAACTCTCAATAAAACTGAAAAAATCTGCACAAAGAGTCTCCTGTAAAGTTGAGTGAGTATACCCAGTCTTGTGTTGTTTTAATTTATGTTTTTCCCTATGTTTTAGCAGAGCCTATATTTGCGGCATAGTAGTAAAACATTTGGGGGGGGTCACTTTATTGTAGCTGTCCTCTCTCCAATTAATGATACTATAATAGGAGATTTTGAAAATATGATCAATGTGCAACTGACGTTTATTTTAACAGTAGTTCCACCATCAGCTCTTACTTGTGCGAAAGGAAGTGGTGTTCAATGTATGAGCAAGATACTGTAAAATACTGTATTTTCGCTTGGAATTAATTTTTGCTGAAGGAATGATTCAGTGAAAAT